AATTCCACATGAAGACAGAGCAGCTGAGAAGAAATGGCTTTGGAAAGAACGGCTTCTCGCAGAGCCGCAATTCCAGCCTGTTCTCCCCTTGGAGAGGCACTTGTAAAGCAGAGTTTGAGGACTCAGACACGGAAACCAGTAGTAGTGAAACATCAGATGACGATTGTTGTAGTGTGGAGGGCGCGAACAGACCACGAGAGAATTTAATGGAGCCAAATTGAGAGTCTTTATTAGCTGGCCAGCGACCACCTCCGCCCGCGTAAAAGCAGTACGAGAGGATGGCACCAGTCTTTAGCTTCTACAGGAATTTTATACTAATTTGAGGGAGGCTACGTGACATAGAACAGATACTCTAAAACAAAGGAAACAAAGGCAGAATGTACAATCAATATTTCAATGACACAGAGTCCTGAGATCTGGCTGTTCTCACAGATTTCTGGTGCCCAAAGACAGATTACAATCTTTGAAGTAAAGCACAATCTAAGTTACAGATTGAACAAAGAACATTCTTCCAGTACCATATTAATCATAAGTTGAACCCTTGACATACTTCGCGTAGGGCAATCAGGCCCTGAATTCTAACAATTGCTAACCGCAAGCTTTGTACAGAAGCAAATAGCGTTTATTAAAGTTCCCTAGCAACTATAATTGCATTATACCTTTTTATTCATTAACCCTTTAAAGCATCTCAGCTCACTACAACGATGCCTGGAAGGAGGCATATAAATGCTCACAGTTAAATCGGACCCAGTAAACTCTGTTTAGGGAGTATACAAAAGAAATTGTTCTTTTGTTTTTCTTATGTTGTTGAATACTTCATGAAGAAGGGAAATAATCACATCCTAAAGAGAGAGCCATTAGCTTGTTTAGCTTTTGTTGTTCTTCCCCGTTAACTGCTTAATAGAGAAGTTTGTGTGGTGGGAAAGATTTTTAAAATACACACACACACACTCACACACACACACACACACACACAGTACACACAGGTGGGAGCTGGCAGTGCCGAGAGGAGACACTGGTCTGCAGCAACAACTTCTACTACCAGCCCTCGGGGCACTCACCCCTGTGCTCAAGCAATCATTGTCAAGGACAAAGTGACTATT